CTCGGTTGTTTGACAGGTGGCTTCACGTTTCCGGTTTTGTCCTGAATGACATCAACAGCAAACACTGAGGATTGAAAGTGGCACTTACTTGATCTGACTACTTGTCCCTCCCAAGGCTTGTCAGCTGTTCCATTTTGCCTTGGAAGGAGTTGTCCCTATTCGGGATCACGTGACTCAAGCAAGCCATAGAAGGGCTTTTCCCTTCGACAGCTGTCCCTATACACATCGGAGGTCAATGGAAAAACCTGGTGGCCGCTTGGGGTTGTTTCCAACGACAGCACGCGGTGTGGGTCAACGCGTTTCAACAACATCTGGTTCTTCTCATAGTCAATCACAGCTCCAAGGCTTCGCAGTGAAGCGATGCTCAAGAGAATGGGCTGATTGGGGATGTCATGTACATGCACCTTCGTGGTGCTCATTCCTCCATGCAGCGGAACTGGCAGCTGGGCGGTGGACAGGCAAACTGTCCGGCCGTTGTTCCCAAATCGAAAGCTCGGGCGTTCCGAGGGTCAACTTGGATGTCACGACTCCTCCCTTGTCCCGCATTGATGTCGTTGATGTGGGTCAAAGCATCCACACTGCCCACTGTAGAAGTGGCCCCAGGATCGATGATAGCTTTGCCTGCCTCCAGAAGCGAACCCATCGCCAGGTTGGCAGACTCTTCAAAAACTCCTGATGTGTCTGATGGTGGTGTAGCCCTTGACTCAATTGTATCACCTGAAGCGGTCGCAGTAAAGGTGAAATGCACTGCTTGTTGACTGCCTTGTTGTTCTTCACGCTTGGGACAGGCATCTGTCCGGTGAGTTCCTCCACATCGGAAGCACTTCCGATCTGAGGTCATTCTTTCTGTTTTCCACTTGACAGTGCTCTCCCGCTTCATGGGGTAGAATTGTCGGCTCTTTCGCATCATGGATTGTTTCTCACGAGCGTCTCGGAGGGTCCTCCGGGCACCTTGTATTGCGGCCAGTGCTTCTTCTGATTCTTGTGTGAGGTAGTTGTACTCTTCAATCTCCTCTTCGGTCATCCATGTTGGCGCCGGCGGTGGTATACCTTCATGCAGGAAGGCGTCATCTTCTTCATAGTCTTCTGCAATGAGGGCTGATCCGCGGGTCTGATCCCGCTTTCTGAGGTCCTCCTCAGTCCAGTTCAGCTTGAGAGCTTCTTTCACTTTCTCGGTGGTGAAATGGTTCTTCAAGCTGGCGATGATGGTGGCACGTTCCGACCCGTCAAGGCCTGAGCGTTGCAGCAGCATCCACGCCACGACAAAATCTGGCAAGAACTTTTCAGCTTCAACCGATGCGTGATCTGAAACATCGGCTTGGTAGATGTTCTCGCTTGTCATGTAGTGTGCATTGCCTTTCTCCCATGACCTTTGGTCATTCCAGTAGTGATTGCTGTAGGGTTGATCCCACCAGCCATCATTGGACCACCACTGAGGTCGATGCCACTGTAGTTCTTCTTGTTGGGCTTCATCCGTGGTTTCACCTAGCTCGGCGTCATGCCGTGCTGGATTGGATTCTCGAGGACTGTGGAACCCTGGTTCCTCATCTTCTTGATGAGGGGCTGCTGCACTCTGATGTGATCTGGTCTGGCTCGCCGATGACCTAAAAGCTGACGGCCTTCGGGTTGAATATCCCTTTCCATATTCTTCGATGGCCTCTGCTAGTGTCCTTCGAGCCTCATAGAGAGCTTCATCATGCCTGACAATCCAGGCGTTCATACACTCTCCTTTTCGTCGTTTCACCTGGTAGAAGAATTTGGAGATCGTCTTGCCTGCTTCTGCCAAGGTCGGAGCTTGTACTCGTGTTCGTAGGAAAGCCAGCAATTCGTGAGCGCCCCACTCATGAGAAATCCACCCCGGTGATTTGTGCTGGACTGCGGTCTTGGCGGCTCCTTCCAAGACAGATTGAAGTCTTGGACCAGCAAGCGGTCTCTTCTTCCATTCCAGTGTCTCCACGTAGTTCAGTGCAGCTCTTTTGTATGGTATGTAGAGGTCGGACGACCCGTCAAAGATGGGAACCCCATCCTTGCTGTACCTAAGTTCAGCCATGCTTGTAGCCGGCGACTATGGATCTCTTCCAAAACGATGTCCCTGGATCTTCGCCCGGCTCCCTTCTTTCTAGAAGGAGCCGGGCTCCGCTACCATGCGAAGCACACGGGCGCAAGTACCCCTCGGAAGGAACTGTTTCTGTCCTTGCTAAGTGGGGCGCTTGAGTCGAGACGAGATCACCGGGAACGAGTGAGTTCGTGACCCTGGAATGCAAATTCTGCATATGTATATGTGTGGATGCATGCAATATCATGCAATTACACTGGAAAATATAGCTTTAGTGTATAATCTAATATACTATACATATAAAAAATATCATAGTCATATAGTCAGTTGTATTATACTGATTTATGCTGTGCATTTATAGTTGTTTAGTAACCGCACAGTTGGGCGCAACATGGCGCAACTATCTCGGCAAATCGACCATTTCTTTCACTTAATCACTTAATCAGGGTGCGTGTCCTCTGCATCGGCGCGTGCGGCAGCCAGACCCTCAAAGGTGTGAGGCAAGGAGAAGTGAAGGCCATCCCTGGCTGGCAGCCGGAGGTCAATGTCAAGGCCCTGTGCACTGCTCTGTGCGTATCACAGTGATGGCCAAAGACTAGGAACCACCAAACAAGCACCAAAAGCATACCAAACTAGAGATTCGTCCCAAAGTTTCTGCGCCACTCCCCAACCGTCGCCCGCCCGCCCGCTGTGCATCGCACGCCTGAGCCCGCCCGGCTGCAAGATCGTCGCCAGCACCGGTTCGGCGAACATCTGCACCTCAAATCAAAGCTGTGAGGTTCTCCACCCTCGAGCTGCGGCATCTCGACGATGCAGCCAAGAGACATCATCAACATGTCGACCCAACCAGTCACCTGCCAAAGCTTGCCAAAGCCAAAGAATTCTTGGTAATTCTTGTTTCCTCTCTCCCTCTCCCATCTCCCTGTGACACATTGGGGTCGTTGGCCATTCCGCTATTCCCAACCACAGCCAACATGCAGAACACACAAGGGTCGAAGATGGTCGAAGAAGGCGCATGCAGTTCAACGTACCGGACGCACCCGGAGACAACCTCTTGTACCATCGGAAAACCGGTCCGAACACCGGTCGGAACGGGTCTTGCACCGTGGCCTTTCGCGTAGCTCCGAAGAATCACGTTGAGCTCCCCCAGCTGCTTCGGCCTCGGTGGTGCCGGGCAACGTCAAGGTCGGGGCGACGGTCGCGACCGACGTCGGGCAAGGTCGGTCGATGGTCGAGGGGCACTCCGAAGTGCTCGGTGGCAGCGCGGAGCGCCGCGTGGCACGCTGGGAACCTCAATGGCAAAGGTTGCGTTTAGATATTCACAGCTGGCTGGCTTGTCACTCTGAGGTCTGATGGTCTAGTTGAAGAAGTCCAGAAAGATCACGAAGATTCAAGAAGGAGATGATGGGTCTTCGGTCTTCAGATCAAAAAATCGGAATTCCATGGATATCCTTTGCAGTGGCTCGGAACTGGGCGTGCTGGGATGCTTTGGGTGCCGCTGGTTGGAGGAGGTATAGAACGGTATAGTTTTGCATCCTCAATGAGAGAGGTTGAAAGCCTGAGTCAAGATGCTCAGAGAGAGGCCGCACATCTTGAAAGCGTTGACGGCACCACACAGCCCAAACCTGCGAAGGTGAACATGTCTCGAGACTCAGCGTGAAAAGGCTGCCTCCTTGACACCTCCAATGTCAGGTCACAAGTTTAGTATGCTACTTGTGAACCTCCTCCTCAAATATCGAAATATGCAACAGCTGAGTGTGCATCACCATCGAAATTAAATGGGTGTTATTCTCAGCAAACCTCGACTGGTGTGGGTGCGGGTCAAGACCCCGGCCCACATATACCCACCAAATCCAACAAACATGGTTGTCTGCCCATGTTCACCCATCCAGTTCTTGAGATGGTCTTAGGTGTTCTCTGTTTGACTCACGTCTCGCCACAGTCGCGCCAGCCTTGCGTGCGCGGCTCGGCGAGTCTCTCTCGCGCAACTTCCGGAGGGCTCGCAAGGCGGCAAATCCTGCAAGTTCAGCACGTCGGGAGGTGTCCGGAGGGTCGAGGGCTATGGTTTTGTGGCTCCAAGAGAGTCTCGGGGGCCAAAGAAGGGAGCCCCTAAGCCCTGTAGGCGCGGGCAAGCGTCAGTGCAGGGCCACCATCGGAAAATCACAAGGTTGGCCCCTTGGAAGATGTTTCCCCTCTACATTCCAGTGCTGCTTGTCCATGTTGGCCCGCAGAAGAGTACGGGTATTCCAAGAGAAGGGCATAATGGATTGGATGATGATTGCTACTCGATGCTACTCGACAAGGCTTCTGGTGAACATAGACCTTTCGCTGTAGCAGTGGGGTCATCTGTTGTTCTACGATGGGGCAACCAGTGACCCCTTCCAAAAGAGGTGTTGCACATCAACCACGAGTCACCAACGCCCCGCAGACTCATCTCCCGCTCCAACGCCCAGCTCCAAGGTGGCCGCAGGCAAGCGAGCGGGCCCCACAGCGCGGCGGCGAAACTCGTGGAGGGCCAAGCGGACTGCCTGCCGCGCAAACGAGAAGCGGGCGCCCGGCGCAGGCGCAGGCGTTCGAAGCTGAAAATACCATTTGTTTCGGTGGTGAAACCGTAACCCGCCAGTGGATCGACAGTTCAGGGTGGTGGGAATTATTTTGATCACTGTGATTGTCCTGAGTTGAGAAATCTCCTTTGAAACCAATCCAACGTATAGGAGTTTATGAATCGAACCCCGATACTCTGACAATGCATCTGAAGGACTTCCGTGGTGGTAGGGGTGGATGTCAGAAACACGTTTGAGAAGGTGGACACTGTTGTTTCACCTCTCTCCGACTCAACAATAGCAAACCGCAACCCCCCAAAACATAATTACAAACATCTGTAACAACTAAGACTTAACCTGCCACATGAGTTGGCCGCTTCGTCGCTTTTCGTCGCGCTTTTCGTCGCGCTGTTCGTCGCTGCATCGTGTTTTTTCCTCACGTCTTTGCACGGAAGATGACCGCGCCCAGGCAGGTCAAAAGACCCGTCAGTGTCAGAGCAGAAGACCCCGGGGAGGTATCCTCGAGAGGAGGGGTGGAGTGAATCTCGAGCGTGGAAAAGGAATATGCAGCAGCAGTCAAAGAAATCAAACATGTTGATGTCGTCCTAATCTTTCATCTGGTCATATCTTGTCTTGTAAGTCTTGACGTGTCTCTACACCAACAAAGATCGAAAAGCACTTGTCTCAAGTAAAGCATCGTAGATGAAGCCCAATAGAGGGGGTCCCAAGAACAAGACCAGGTCCCCCGCTTGGCGGCTCAAGGACATGGCGGAGCCCACATGCTCTTTGGGCGCGATGTCCGCAGCATAAGCGCTCAGCAACGGAGCCAAAGCAGCTTCACCCACGCTCCAGGTCCTCATGCGCGAAGGGAGTTGATAATGGTCGATGTCTTGAGGTGCGAAGGGACACAGAACGGTTTAAGCTCTAAAAATCTATCTGTTTGATTCATTTGCCGTGTCTTATGCTGGATGCGGTTACCAGATCAACCTTCTGCAGTATCCAGACTTTTTTCCGTCCAATTCATGCCTTTGGGAATCTTTGGGCGAATGATGTCTCACCTCTTGCTTGAAGAAATTTGAAGAACACGGCACATTAATGCGTCACATTATCATTATTTGGCGCATGGGCAATCCTATCCAAGGAACACATACGACGCCACAAAGAGTTCCCAGACCTCAGCGCTGGCGACACCAAAGCAACCAAGACCACAGAGCAAAGCTGCTGGGGCAATCAGGGGCACACGGCCATATTTATCCTTGGTCTCACCAATCGAGGGTAGAAAAGAACCAAAGGGTAGCAAGACATTGTGAAACAACGGCTTGGATCTACCTTGGAGCTGCCGGAGTAAATATTGGCTGAAGTTGAACAGAAGCCCGTCCTGCACATGGGCACGCAACAAACATGGCGCCCTTGGAAGACAACGTTCCTCTTACAAACAGATGTAACGGGAGGTTTGCCACTTCCATCTCGAGTCAAGTACATTCAATGTGTCCATCGAGTCAACGGAGCCAAGTGTCAGACAAAGTTCCCATGATAGGAGCTGCAAGGATGCCAACAGCAGCGCCCACGGAATAGAGAACTCCAATTTCTGCCACCCCAAGACCAAACAAGCGGCTGGTCTGTAGTGGCATCACAGTAATCATTGCCGCATAGTTCAAGAACAAAGCTAAGTTCGCTGAAAAAAGTCCTTGTTGCCGGGGATCTCGCAACAAGTCTTGCCAATCTCTAGCTGCTTGGGCTAAGAGAATCGTCGATTTGGCTGATCCAAGTGATCGGAGCGATGCAAAAAGTGACCCAACTCCGGGTGATGTCCTGCTGTGCATTGCTCTGTTCATGGTCTCGGGCAACGTAGCATAGGCTGCCCCACAGAGCCCGATGAGCACAGCGACTCCACAGTAGGCGGTCTGCGCGCCGTAGAAATGCGTCAAGGCACCACCAATGGCAGGGCCCACCACGTATGCAGCTGCAATAAGACCTCCTTGGGCACCCAAAATGGTGCCGCGCATCGGTTTCCTTGGATACGTTGCTTGGCCTTTTGCTGGGATGTTTTCAAGACAAAGCCCACTTCCTGTTCAATCTTGTCCATACTGTTTGACCAGGATGTACTGTCTCACTGTCCACCTGGCATCCCATCTTAATCCATCAAGTCACAAGTGGGGTCTTTCCGTGAGGTCGGTCAAATATGCCTGGGACCCCGCGGCTGCCAGGGCCGCGCCCGTGCCGCCCATAAAGCGAACTGGGAGCATGGAACTCAAGGACCAAGCAAGACCTCCCAGGAAGCGAGGTCTTGAACCGCTGAGAAGTGGATCTAGTATAGGTTGGGTCTATCCTATTACCTGCAACAGTGGATGATGATGGTTAGTAAAGGCCTTGCCCAAAAATAGTGATAATTGTTTACTGATTGTTACAGGTAATAGGACAGACCTCAAGTATAGGGTCTATGGATCTATGGGGATGTTAGTTCACTGGCAACTGGCTATGATTGCATGTTCAGGGCCTTTCGGTGCTTGAAGGACAGTTTGCTTAAAGGCTTGTCTTGACGACAGGCATAAACATGCTATCAACCCTCCGTAAACTATACAAAAGGATGTTCAGAAAACACCCTCAAAAGCAACCCCCGAAAAATCAACATGATCATAAACCATCATAAACCTACGCTTATCAAACCAAGAAAACATCAAGCTGCTAAAACCATGCCAATATACAATGAGGCCGACCCTCCCCACAAACAAAAGAAAAATACATGCTATCCTCAGGTCCTGACCTGTTCCCAAACATCCCAGCGCGGCAAAGATTTCGCCCATGACCATGCAGGGCACTCGGCCCAGGCTGTCCACCAAGGCGCCCGCAGGCAGATTGAAAAGACACCGAGCGAGGCTCGGAGCCGCCAAGAGTAGACCCACTCCTGGAAAACGCCCGAGTTTTTAACAAAATCAGCTCCGATTTGGGGAGGGGCAACAGTGCATGAAAAACCTTCCACACCGGGTCAAGCCAATGTAATGTGCAATTGCATACATCTGTAAACAATCCGTTGTCTTCTAGATTTATGTGTATATATATTTTTTTGCATTTGCACATACATATATTAAGTTATATATATATATATTCTATATATGTATATAGACTTATATACACACACATACATATATAATAGAAAACCTATCAGAATCAACAGAGTCTGCTGGAGTCCCACTTCTGAACAAATATCTAAAATGTACTCAATGTACTCTAAAATGTATGTTGCCCAAGAAAATTACACTTGATCATTTTGCAATCCGAATCCACATGCAGCGTTTTGGGGGTTGCGCTCTTCATTGCTGGTTTGATCCCCGCGGCGCCGAGTGTTTGAATAATATGAGTTTTCAAGCTTCAGGTGTACTCAGCCATATCATAGGTTTCGTTTGGATATGATCGGCGGCAAACATCTGCAAGAACTCCCACCAAACAGACTATACAGTAATACTGTGGATAGTTTGGTTGAAATCATAATGTAATACAATTTGCATCGATTTGCATTAATGTACTTTGGTTTTTGGTAGTCCATGCCTCTAGCGGCTCTAGCGGCACAGATGATAGTGCATTCGACCAAAAACCCAACATGCATCATGTAACCATCCTTCTCTGCCCAAGAGCAAATGCACTCCTTTTACACTCATCTGCTCCTGTAGCACCGAAGCCCAGTTCCTGCGACAACTGAGGCAGCGCTGGGATAACGACACCCATCCCCACATTGAGCGCAGCCCCGGAGACAGATATCACCAGCAACTGGCGGCGCTCTTCTTTACGGCAAGCCTTCCAAGCAGCAAGGAAGCCTGATGACAGGATTGCCTTTGTGGTGGTGAACTGGCTTGTGGGATTCATCCTGGTGGCATAGGACCATAATGCATGTGTTGTTTTTTGTGGGGGGCTGATTTGACAGTACCAGTAGCCAGTGAAGGTTGCCTCTCTCAGCTGCTTGATGCAGTTTGGGCCTCCTTTCAAGCATCAAGATCCACGTGAAAAATACATGAAAACACACCGGTGCCGGAGCTCTCAGCTGCATTTCCGGTGCTCGCCTGGCTTCGACTTGGCGTCACCCGTCTGGGTGGACAGTACTGCCAAGCCACCGCGGTGGAGTGAACAGCGCGTTCTCGGCCACCGACGTCCCAGGCGAAGCATGGCGTGTGGGGTCCGACAGTCCGACCCTTTTGTAAGATGCTCTTTTCGGTCAATCTGTCGACGTGAGAGCAAAGCGTTCTGAGGTGGACCCGGATGTAACATGTCAGTATCAAAAATGGAACTCCAGTTGATGGCAGATTGGAGATCAGTCCGTTCAGAGAGGTTCCCCAACACATGCTGAGCTCATTGATGGTGCATTCTCCATGCAACGGTCTATCATGGTGCATCCAAAAGTCTAACAGCTCTTACAATGTGTGAATGATTTTGCATGGGGTTGCTAATACCATGGTTTATCCAAAAGTCGACCGGTCTAAAATAGTCTAAGCTCTTACGATTAATTTGTGCATGATTTTGCTAAGGCCTAGGGCTTTTTGATGATCCCTGTAATAGATTGGTCGACTGAGTCGCGACTGAGTCGCGGTCAACACTGTTGGTGGATGATTCAACACTGTTGGCCTCCAAGCAGCAGCAACAAAGGATGAATGGGACTATGGCAGCGTTCACAAGTGGGATGAAAGAATTAGCATGGAAGAGCCTATCTACAAAAAGACCAAGCAGGGTCCTCGGCCAGAAAGATAGGCTTCCAAACGCCAGTTTGGATTGGAAACACACTTGGAAATGGCTGGAGCGTAGTTAGCATGATGCAAGGTTCAGAACATTGTCTCCAGAGTGTCGACCTTTCAGCCGCCACTGAGCGTAACAATGCGTAACAATATCCCCTATCTCAACATCTCTTGTTGCTCATGCTGCACGGCAGATTTAAGATGTTCCAAATCCCAGAAGGGGGGAGGTGATTCGAATGTTATGAATTGTTACTTATTGTTGCACCATTGACCCCGATAAAGAGCTCTCAAAAAGTGTGGAAGTCCTTGTTGCACCTGCAAATCCGCTTCGATCCGCATCACGATCCGCTCTTTTCCATGAGTCCCCACCTGGTGCGGCAGCTCTCCGATGCGAAGCCCTGGTATAGGTCCTGCATGGAATTTGGAACACCTCCCAAGCCGCTGGGTCACTGGAGGGTCTTCGCGAGTCGCGTGCTGGAGAGAATCACCTGGACGTACACGAAACCGTGGGGGAGATTGTTTGGAGACGGTCCTTCCCAAGTGCCCCATTCATCTCGACAGCTTTGGCTTTGGGGGTGCACCCCACACTGCTAGTGAACATGCTTCAACTCAGACTCATCCCCGACTAAGCATAAATCCAATCAAATCCATCTCATCTCAAATATCTCAAATGACCCCTCAACCTCCTACAGAACGCAAAAGGTTGCTCTCTAGCCATCAATTGTGTGTGCATGGGTTCTTGCCTCATGTGATGTGTCTGTCAATGAAGCCCCATACAGTACTTCTTCAACTTGGTCGCAACAGGACCCTGAGAATAACATCACACAAAAAAACGAACAGAATGTACTAAGTTACTCTATAATATGTGTGTGTGTTAGTGTTTCACACGCTAACAGCAAATACGTCAACATGGCGACCTGTCGCAAAGCGCCCGCCCTACGTCCACTGTCCCCTCGGCAAGAGCGTCACCCCCAGGTCCATGCGGCCGTTCCATGGTCCGGCCAGGGCGGCCGAAACCCGGTAAAGGACAAATTCTTAAAGGTAAAGGCTTGCACTCCACAAGAGTTGAGATAGATTGGTTTATGTTTTGTCCTCAAGCCCTTTGAATGTGTGCGTGTGTGTGTGCGTGTGTGTGTCCGCTTGTTCCTCCATTTCTCTTAGGTGCCAACATGTGCGGACGATACATTGCATGGCCATGTGTGGGCTGAAAAGATTTGGGAGCGCCAAACGAAAAGCCACTGGCGTAGACCGATCACTGGCGTTTTCAACGGCATTGATCAACCTTCAACGGCATCGGTTACCGTTAAAGTCAAACTGTTTGACAAAGCCAGCCTTGTCCCTCCCCACTAGCTTGGATTGTCCAACCTCTCTGCGGGAATCAGCAGTATGCCTGTCTGCAGGCGACCCGGTGTCTCAAAATGGACGACCTGTTGCAGTAATATGAAGAGGGTGGGCATCTACTCTTCCTACCAACAAGAACCTTGCAAAAATCCGAATCCCACTGCTGTACTTCCAGGCACCTGATGCACCCCTGCAACATAACCCCCAGGTTCCGTTGCATGCCGAGCGTAGCCGCCGTAGCCTACTAAATAAGTTCAAGTCGTCGACTGTCTGTCTTGATCCACGGTGTGCACCGAGGATCAAGTCTCCGCATTCTCAAACAAATGAGCCAAGGAGCTGGCGACCTCCAGAGAATCCATGAATCCACATGACATCAACCGCGGTCCTTCATCCAGCGCACAGCGTGTTCAGCAAATCGCACACACCTTTTTGGGCGAGCAGCCATGCTGCGACTGGACCCTCGAAAGGTCGCTTCCTTTGGCGACCAGCCTCGCTAGGCGTAGAATATGAATGAATATGAGCTGATTTACCATCCCTCCAACAATCATGGAAGTGGACAATCCCCTGCTTGTAGAGGAACATGGTTTTTTCCAGGGGCCCTTTTCCACGTCCATGATTGTTGGAGGGAGGGCAATGAATCAGCTGTTTTGATCTGTTTTGTCCTACCATCTCCTACCCTAGCTGGACTCGATGAAAGAGTGTCCCCTGGATGACTTGAGATATCTAGTGTCTCGTGGTCTTTCTGCTAATGTTTCTTCCTCCCACCATGATCCCAGCTTCTGTGAAAAAAACCACATCCATTATGCTGCTCATCGAGCTCGATTGCTCAAGTCTCCGACCTGGGCTGGCTCCGTGGGGGGAAGAGTTCCATACGGCCCGAGGGCATAGAATGACTTAAAGCCAAGGGCATAAGGCATAATAAGTAGCTCTCAGGTGGTCCCCGGCGCATCCAATTCGACTTCTGGTTGGATGGATTGGGCGCGAGCCTCCTCGATTCTTGGACTGCATCACTGCAAAGGCCAAACCAGGCTTAGCGGCTAAACAACACCCTACCCCGCCCCCCTTGTTCCGTCATCACCAGCGACTCGAGAGGGTGGTGTCCCCTATGAAAACAACAAGGGCATGTCCAAAACCTCCGGCTTCATGAACTCTGAGCTCCCGATCTGATGCTAATCAGCCCAATCCGCTGAGAGAAACTCCGTCAAGTTGCCCATCTGACAGGCTGGTTGAACGGACGAGGTCAAGCTGAAACGCACGAGCCATCAAAACCGAAATCATGCACTGTGCTGTTTCTGCAGGAACTTCTGCAGGACACACGGCTGCAAAGGAGATCAACAACATCTGAACAAGCCACCCGCCTGGACAGAAGTGCTGCCTGAACAGGGTAGAATCTAGCAAGTGTTGGCTCATGGGTTTGAGTAACTCTCCACCAAACATGGGTCCAAAATGGTCCAAACTTCTACTGTTCTCTGCACCCATTGCTTCATCCAGCCATGGCAGTGGTCCCACCTTCCTCGTCCGCCGCCACTTCGGCAGCAACCTCCAAGGGAGACTGTCTGACGGGTCCCGTGAAATTAACATTATTGAGAAACCTGAACTTGCGTTCAAAACCTGAGCAAGGTCTGAACTCTTGTACCACCCTCCTGTCACCTCTGGGATGAGCTCTTGCGACGGTCGAGATCAGTAAGACAAGCAAGTTGCACTGCAGGTCTACTAGCCACAATGTGTATTGTGTTTCAACTGCTACAAGGACAAGGTCCAGAACAAGTGACGATGATATGATATGATATGATAGGATATGCATTTAATTTCTGGTGCACGCCTTTCAGTACTGGATCATGATCATGGACGTGGCTGGACCAATACGACAGATTAACAAGTGGCAGCTAAGTGGCACACAAGTGGCACTGCACTCAATGACTTCTGTTTGAGTCGTCGGTTCGATTCTCCAGTTTTACATGGGGCGACCGGATTCAGGGGCCCTCCCCTCCCCTCCCCTCCCCCAGAGACACCCCAGGACGACCCACCTCTGGCTCAGCCGTGAACATCACTGAGTCAGCCCCCCTCAGCGAGCGTGACACATCGAAGGATCTGGAACGGGTGACAATCGAAGGGCCCCTTGCAGCGGAGTGAGAAGTATAACTCCCAAGCTGAGTCACAGCGAAGAAGAAACTGTGAGATCTAGCCACGAGCACCTGGAACTTTTGCGGACCAAGGACAATGGTGAAACCGAGGAATTGGACGGAGTAGACCGGTTCGGAGCGTGCCGCTGCGGCTTCATCGCCACCGAAGCCCGCTCCACACGGGAGACACATCAGATCAGCTCACGGAAGTTGCGAAGACATCAGAATCATGACGTGTTTGAATGATGGTTCCGCTCTCGCAGTCTTAGACTTCCTGGATTTTGTCACACCCAAATGGCCAATGAGCCTTCATCTGATTAGGCTTCCGCCCAAGAAGACCTACCCACTTGAGCTGACGGAGTGTGGGCTCAAGAGGTGTCTATACAACTTTCTGCGCACATCATGTGGCAGCATTGTGGCAGCATTGTGGCAATGAACCCGAATCTTGAATTACGCAACCTGGGACATGCTGAACTTATTCCATGGAGTCATGGAGATACAGTATCTCAAATACTTATATAGTCATTGCCACTCTGCTGACCCAACAAGCCGTAGATGCTGGAAATTTTAGCTGCTCCCTGTTTAGGAAGGGCATTGGAGGGATGCTTTCGGGAAAACGGATGGACAAAACATTTGAAACCGATGGATTGTTGACCATGAGGAATGGCTGGGAAACCATCAAGATGCTCAAACATCCAACTCGGCCCGCCCAAGCCCGGAAAGCACGGCAGTTTCCTCAGGTGATTGGGCAATAATTGGAGTCGGTGCCATAGCCAACTGTTCGGCAGGGCAGCACTTGGCACCCCAAGACCTGCAGCGCCGGCAACTCGGACTGGCGACCGGTGCCAAATCTCGGGAGTTGATCATGATCCACCCAATAATATAAATGACTGATTTTGTGAAGGTACTGCAGCAAAGTGTTGTGCTGCAGTACCTGGAGCACACGACTTTGCATGAATTTTCTTCCAGTCACATGCAGCTGGCCACAAGTCTATGCATGTCCAGGAGTCGGTCAAGGCCCCAGCGCAGTAGATGCATGTGAGGAACCCCCAGTGACCCCAAACGGCCAGGCCAACCATCTGAAATTTTGGACGCCGCTAGCAACGCCATGGGCCTGGCTCTCACATCCCGTGGTGCCATCATCCACAATCAACTCGGCCTCAGCAGCTTTCACTTGAGGCCAGGGGGGGGTCCATAACCTTGAATAATTCAATGTGTTGACGTCTTTGAGGCTGCCGTCTACCCTCTCCAACTCCTTGCTAAAGCAAGAGCGACTCCAGCTAGAGGCTAGCTTTCGTGACTTGAACTTGATGGAAACGCAATGAAACGGACCAGATCTGCATCAAGAACAACGCCCTCAAACAAGAGAGTCCTGCGGTCGCCAAAAGCCAACAAAAAAACACAAGGCAGTGGACAGAACACCCCAAAAGCACCTTGAAAGCCCACTGTTATTATTTGTATGTCAGGGGGCCAAAACAGTACAACCCAAATCTCTTCCTCTGAGTCCTCTCTGGGCGTCTGAACTATATATATATATATACCTCACATCATGAGATATCATGAACTACCAGAAATGCGGGGCGTCTGCTCTGTCGAATCAGCGAGTCTGAGGCCAGTCACCCTGGAGTGTGCATGGCTTCTCACCTGAAGCGTCGAGCGTTCGGAGCGCAACAAGAATCAACAAGACTTCTGCAAAGCATGGAAAGGCATTACCAAACGCCTTGTGTTCTGTCACTGGCCAGCTGCAGGCGCATGCCAAATGGGTGCAAACACAGCAAGAATCTTACAAGCATACATGCACCGCTGCACCTAGGCGCCATTTAGACGTATAGTATATCAATATATTGATATATTATATAATGCCTAGACCCTCCCGAGGCAATAATTTTTGCCGTAGGCTGTTGAGGCAAAAGAATTTGCCGTAACTCATTTTTTCTGCCGTAGCTCAATCCCTGGAAAGTGAAAACGCCGTCAGAGAAGTGAAAACGCCGTCACAAAAGAAGAATCGCTGTTTGTTTGATCTACCAAAGAGGATATTGCTTTGGTCCGTTCATGCCCTAAAATTGCCTTCTCCTTGTTCACTTGTAAGTAGAGCTCATCGTTTTCAAGCCTCATGGTAGCACTTCTCAAGATGTTGCAGACCTTGTCTAAGGTCTCGATTGACATCACGGCAGGATTTGTTCACATTTTGATCATGCAATGGCTGAAAGGATCGCTTGTGACATGTTGTGACAAGTCTTGCTGCCACCTTGAGTGACCCTAGACAGGGTAAGGGAACGACGCCGTCAGTAGGGGGAAAACGCCGTAAGTACAGGGAAAAACGCCGTAAGTAGGGGGAAAAACGGGGCAAGTACGGGTAGGAGCCCCGTCACTTTAAACGCAAAATCTTCTGCAACGCCGCGCAAGAGGTCGAGTTACCCGCGAAAACCGACGAAAACCCAGCATGTGACACTTCCATCAGCTGCCCTTTCCACTTCACATGACTATGCTAGTTTGCTGATATAATGAGACGCCTTTTACGTTCAGTTGCCTTTCAAGCAAGACCCTACAATGTTTTCATACTCGCCTGCACTAAAACTAAAACAAAATGACTCTTTGAGGCGCATGGATGTGTGGACCAAAATTGCCGTCAACTGACCGAAACTGCCGCAGTTCATCAAGAAACGCCGTCCCTATGAGATCAATATGGAAGAACGCCGCAGAACGGAAAAAGGCGACGTTTCATGAAAACGGCAATTATTATTGCCGTAACGAAGTTCCAGGTATATATTAAAATAGTAAAATACATATGTATGTATGTATGTATGCATTATATTGTGATTCAATGTGACTTATATCGATGTCTGCCGACAAAATCGTCCAAAAATGGATCCTACTCCTGCTGTCCCCCTTTTCATTTGTCACACCTCGTTCTCGAGGAAGTTCGGCAAGTGCTGGCGCACCTGGTTTGAAATGGTTTGACACGCTCTGAAGGTGGGCACCAAACATGAAGCGTTGTCAAAGTTCCAGAATGACATACAACTTTTGTCAATGTTTGTTAAGTAACTTAGCGTCCAAAAGAGCTTTGGAGCGGTTTGAGGCGGGAACCGTCAGTGGTGAAGCGCTCAACTGTTGTGGAGGTTCCCGACTGGGCTTGCTCCATCCTGGCGGTTTTCGACACACAGTGATACTAGCGACGATCTGGAGGGTTTTGGAGACCATGACCCATGTGTCCAATTCCAGGAACACATGCAAAAACTCATAACACCTCACAGCAAAGAGATGCACTACTTGCTTTGAAGAATTTGGAGCCAGGTCCCACCCCGTTACAAATCATCGGCACTTGGCCGTGACCTGCACTTTTTTAGATTTGCCAAGCATAGATTCCACCCAAACAGTGGAGCAACATGGCAGTTGTGCAAAACACTACGCAGGTGTTGAAATTCCCTGCAGACAGGTCCGGGGAGGAGCAATTCCGTGCTGCCTCCAGCCAAATGCCAGCCAACGCCAGCAATTCCATGATGCCTCTAGTGGTGAAGGCCATCACACGTACATGGCCGGTACGAGCGGCCCCAGGTCAATGTGCAGGCAGGGAGAATTCAAGGGCACGTCTGAGAACTTCCAAGCCTCGGAAATCTCCCGTGCCAATGACTTGATCTCTGAGCTGTGAGACGAAGCTCCTTGTCCTTGAAGGCTCCTTCTCAAGCCCAGGAGTGCCCAGCCACAATGTGGCTCTGCATGATAGGATTCTCCACGCAAGGCATTTCGGAAAATCTGCTCGGCTTCTTGAAAGTGGCCCGCCAAAAGTAGTGCTTCACCATAGCATTCACGGGTGGGTAGGACCCAGTTGGGTGGCAGGCCATAGGGCATGGCCATTTCAACCTCCACTGCTTTTCTCAATGCATTCAAAGCACCCATCACATGCCCATGCGCCATCGCCAAAACAGCTGACGCGGTGTGATTGGCGATCAGGGAGACGTTCATGTACCTGCTGTCGATGCGAGGAAGCAAGCCTTGCAAGTTTTCCAGGTGTTCCTTGGCCTTCTCAGGATGATTCAAATGAGCTTCTGCGATGCTATGGCAGAACTCTGCCACCAAGCGATCTCCGTACAGCCACTGGCGGGCGAAGCCATGGGGTGGCACTTTCTCCAACTGAGCCACGGTGGCCCAGTCGCCAAAGCGAAGCGCCACCAACATGGGATAGTTCCATGCCATGCTGCCATCAGGGTAGTCCGCCTGAGCCGGTGCCCGCTCAAAGACTTCTTGAGCCACTTGCACATATTTGTATGCTGCTGCCCTCTCACCACCCCAAAGGGCACAACAAACAAGAAACACGGAATTGTGTCCAGGACCATATGGCATCCAATGATGCCGAAAATATGCGGCATCACTGCCAACAGCCACAATGTTGCTGATCAAAGCTTGATGGTAGTGACCAGCCCGGAGATAAGTGTGGCTTGTCATATGCTGCAAGTGTTGATCTTGTAACTCGGCGGTATCTGCCAAGAGCTTCCAGGCTGTGTCCAAGGCTGTCAGCACTTCAGTGTTGGACATCTCAGTGCTGTGGATGAGTAAATGTTGTGCATAAGGATGCGTTTGATTTGTGGCATTCAGTGCTTCTCTCAACATCTTTGTGCTTTCCACAGTCTCAGGTCTTGCAACTGCAGGTAGCTTATCACCTCGTGTGTCGTAGAAATGCCACTGGTCCGGACTACACATCAAAATCATCAATGCTTCTGCACGGAACACCTTGAGGTCTACCTCTTCCAAAAGCCCTTTCTCCTTGGTCAATTCACCCAAGACTTTGGCATACTTTTCATAATTGGCTCCCTGTTCACTGGCATTTTCAGGGTATCGCACCACCATCGACCGGATGAAGACCTCCTCCTTGGACGTCACCTTCACCGCTCCTTGCGCGCTCCTCACGGCCTCCTGCGCGGCGGCACGGCCCAACTGTAGCTCTTCGGCCGACTTCACTGGCGCGTTCAGCGTGGGCCCATAGGCGTGGGCGAGACCCCAGAAACACATGGCACAGCTGGAGCTGGAGGAGTCCGAGAGGCGGATGGCCTCCTGAAAGACTTTTTGCGCATTGGGCTGATCAAAGTTGTAGATCAAAAGGAGGCCGATGTTGAAGAGCTCCTCTGGATGGTGGTTGAACCCTTCCCCCAACAAAAAGGAATTACAGTACATGTAATTACAGTTAGTCAACTGGGGTAGTCATTCAAAATACAGTTTTCAAACACATGAAGGCACCAACCGATCCTGCACAGTCTGGTTGAACTTCCGCATGGTGATCTTGAAGCCCCACTCCGGGCCCAGTTGTGGCGTCCATCCCAGGAGGTCTGTCACATTGATGTTCGAGGGCGCGCGGACCGCGCGGACCGGGAGTGCTGCAGGAAGAGAATCTGCTTGGCAGGTGAGAACGCAGCACCACGCGATCAGCTTGAAGACATGGCTCGCGCGGGAAGCACGGGGCAGAGACATGGCCATCACGCACTCAAACTCCAAAGAACATCTCGTGTGGCCTGAGCCTGCATGAATTTTATATGTGCAGGATGACTTATCATCTTCTGTGCATCTGATCTGTTCATGGACAATCTCATTCAAACCTAAACGCCACCAAGCCAGCACACACATGGGCAAAGACTGGAACATGCCACACAAAAGTAGAAGCCTAGGACAAGAGTACGTCGTACGTCTGTACGCCAGGGTGAACTTTGACTCTTATGCATTGGTCTTGCAAAGGCTCCAACCAATCCAACTCTCATGTGCCAGCGTCGTCTATTTCAGTAGCCCTGAAACCTCCGACCTCCGACCTCATGACGCCCGCCTCGCAAGACGGTGCGAAGCACCTGTTGCAGGGCGGCTTGTTACTTAGAGGCCCATGGCCGTGTCGTACAAAAACTGACAAGAACCATTGGCGTTTCAGGAGGAAAGCATGGCAACATGATGCAAGATGTATGATCGCACCTCACGAGAGACCTCCTGGTCATCAATGTCACTTCTGGAGGGGTGGCTGGTCAGAAGTTGATGGCAACACTCCTGGCCAATGCCACGGACTCAATTCAGAGGCAAGTCGCTTCATGACAAACAACGCTGTCACAAGGAAAGATTCAGTTACCTGATATTGAGCATTACGAGTCAAGTTAGCTCCAAGAGAAAACAACGGGACACTCCCCACAATGGTTGTGAAAGGTCTTGACTCACATCCTAGCAAGCGTGTGCATGTATACATGCAAGTATAAATATATATATATTGTTTTTTTTTTGATTTATTTGTACATACACTATATACGTACCATAGATGCTTAATTACTCACATCGATAGATATAATAGTTGGATATATTTAATATATTTGGATATATTTGGCCAATGTTCGAATCTGAATCCGCACTCCTCCACTAAGTGATCCAAGTCCACTTCTCCCTCAACGGATTGTTGCGAAGGGATCACGGAGCGTCATCATACGCCGAACGCGGCGTATCATGACACCCTCACACCAACCACTACAACGTTTGAGAGAGAGGGAGAAACGCTGCGAGGGAGGGAGCAAGGAAGGAAGGAGCGGAGGGAGGAAAAGAAAGAATGAGGGGATGTATTGTCAGCATGATCACTCAGAGAGACGAGAGAGAGAGAGAGAGCAGTCAAAGATCTCCATGGACTCCATGGACTCCATGGACATCTGCTGGCAGCACAGCTAGCGTGCAAGCTGGCCTTTGAAAACAACCAGAGTTCCATCATATTCCATCATCTTCACTCCCTTCTGTCAGAGTCTGACCCCCTCAACTCATGGGTGCAATCAGCCCTTCGCTACTGCCACAAGGAGAAAGAAAGCCAAGGGCCCAACAATTCATTCAGTCAGGGGGTTCTCTCTTCCAATTATGTCGATGGACGCCCATTTGTTGTCAATTCAGTCGATGGCCACTTGACCAAATCTGGCAACTCCTTGTCACGTCATTTCACAGGTCAGACCGACGGTCGCTGAACGAATCGGCCGGACCCAGCCTGCTGCGGCGACATCGTGAACTGCGCTTGGGCCAAGAGAGTCAGAACCTACACGCGGGCTGTGCCCCTCCGGATCAACTGACGACGTCCGATGACCTGCTGCGACATCCGGCTGGGACATGGAGACTTGTCCGGCCTTGCTCACAAATTCAAGTCATGCTTACGAGCATTGCTCCAGGGTCCACTCGTCCAAGAAAACCGCCCCTCAGTTCCCTGGTGACTCAGTTCCTTGGCAGCTGCCTCCGTCATCACACGGTCACGCAGAGTCCCAGGCACATGAGAAACACCTGCAACGATGGCTGCAGAAAACGTGTCGTAAGCAGTGGTAGCAGTTGAGCTCAGACCCTTCCTAAACATCTATAAATTACATGAAACTAACAAACCTCTCTCAGACTCACCCATTCTGCACATCCATTCCTCCAACTTGTTGGCACGGCCTGAAAGCGTATCTGGACTGAAGAGAGCAGTGACTGCCTGGCACGAAGCATGGTACAGACCCCTGCATCGCCGCATAGCCAAGCATCGCCGCGGAAGGGGGGCCTTCAGTCATTCATAGAGCAAGTGGCATGATGCCGCCGTTGGTCTGCGAACACGAACCCCAAACCTCCCCCCGATCCGAACCTCTGTCCTCTCATCAGCCTCTTCTCTCAGGACCTCCGGAGACGTCTCAGGAACCCCTTGACGCATGCGCCAAGCAGAACATTGACGGTTGAAACAACCGTGCACCGCCCAGGACAAGGTCATTGGGTCCGCCATATTGAGACAAACATAGGCATCCATGAAATCATGAAATCCTCACCTCTTGGAATTGTCAGGAATTTTCGAGATTCCTGATTATAGTTAGTCATGTCATTTCACGCACCCAATTCCCTCATGTCAAAGAAACTGCATATCACAAATTTCTGGAATGAAATTGATTCTAACTTGAGAGGAGGGAGACACGAAAGGTAGGACAGAGAAGAGAACGCGAGAGGCAGGAACAAAATGCAATGTTCGACATGGTGATTTATCCCCTCGGAGGCGACCTTTCGTAAATATATGTTCATATGCACTCTAAATGTTCAAACATATGCTCTCGAAATGTTCAAAAAGATTCTTAGGAAAACAAACTTGCCCCATGGCTCAGATCATCGGTGAGCATTGAATCGGAGCATCATAGGATTTGAACTATCCTGAAACCATAAAAGGCTCACGAAGACGTTCTCCAGGAGAGAATTGAATTTAGAGGGGGGGGTCTGTATTGAAAAATCAATTCCAAGGGGGCGGGGGGGGGGGTCTGTATTGAGAAATCAATTCGAGGGGGGGGGTTGAATTGAATGATCAATTATTAGACCCGGACGCGCCAACACTTGCTTCGCAAGACAAACTCAAGGTATCCCCTAAAGGGCTACCTTTCGTGACATATTCCAAATGGATGTTGCTGATCGTGGTGACCAACCCTTGCTCTTTGACCAACGATGCCGCCCGAGATGCCTCCTCCACCGGTGAAATAATGGTGTCCTCCTGCATGCCGTCGTTCTCGGCCGCAGGTTGCGGCTCCTCAGAATGGAGGGAAATGGTTCCAAAGTTCAATGGATTTACCCTTATCATTGGCCAGATTTGTGAATTCTCACAGTGGGACCGGGGTTCCCAGGATTTCCCAGGTTCCCAGGATTCCAACTGCAAGCATTCTCAATGCACCCAATGAGCAGTGGAGAGGTGACGGTCAGGTGGAAAAGGGCAGCTTTGAAATGGGCAAAAAGCCTGGAGGTATCTATCTATCTATCTATATGCTATATGTATATATAATCCTATCTAATCTGATCTAACCCTATCATATCTAGCTGATCCTATCTTATCTTGCTGTCTATCTATCATCTATAGTTTTTGTGTTGTGTTTTATTTCTATTATATGATGTTTCTTTATTGATTTTTGTCTGCATATGTTGTCTTATCTGTCTAGCCTTATCTAATCCTATCTTATATGTCTCATTTATCATATCTAATTTATCAATCAATCGATTAATCTATCAATCTATCCTTGTAACTATCTTAACTACTGTATTTGGTTATTTATGTATTGTTGTTGTTATTTCTTTCTTTCTTCCTGTCTTATTTATCTATATATTTATCGATCTATCTATCTATCTGTCTGTCTTATGTATCAGAGTAATGTATTTAGTTAATCTAATCTATCTGTTCTTATCCTAATCAAATCCAATCTATATTTTATCTATGAATCTATTTAATTCTGTTTACCAATCTATCTACACATGTCGTTCCGCCTATTTCTCCCTCTCTCCTCTCTCTCTCTCTCTCAATCTTCTCCAAACCAACTGTGCCAGCCAGTGCATGTATATTTTATATAATGTGTCTCTCCGAGTCTCTCCCTATCTATTTCATGTTTGGTCTGAGTTCCAGCTAGCTCTACCCTTGAGACGAACCCGCAGGAGCCTCCATCACTGAGGGTCACTTGGCAGGAAACGTGTTCGGAACATGGTGACGTGGACATGTCCCAGCAGGTGGGCCATGAGCCAAATGGAAAATGTGAGTAGCCATGCACCATTGGCCACCGTAATGTGATCATGTTGAAGTGGACCGTGTGGTGATGGCAGATTTTATAGCTTTTGTTGGAGTGTCAACACAATGAAGCTGGATCCTGTGCTGCCAAGAATCTCGTAGGGGGTTGGCGAGCACACAGAAGCGAGCCGTATCACGCCAAATGCCACCTGCCGAGGGAACATTGACATTTGATCAGATCAAAGTTCAAAGTCCTTGCAATAAATAAAGGCGGACTCGCAACCCCCCCAAAAGAAGTTACTATGTCTCCGTAGTGGAATTTTCATCTCAAGCAGAAAAACCACCCGTGTGTCTGAAGCTCTGCTCCAAAGCAGCCCATTCCCGGTATCCAACCCCAATGCACTCCCCAATGCCTTCCAACATCTGCCACTGCATCGTCAAATGGGGAGAGCCCTCGCAGGCAGTAGTGCCTAGGAGAGGTACCGCGACTGGATACCACGAAGAACCAAACGTTTCTCTTTCTTTTGAACCGCCACCGGCCTAGCAACACTAAGCGGCTTCTTCAAAACTCTTCATCAATCGCATTGACTTGGAGACAACATAGGAAGGTTTGAAGGTCAAATTTGGCATCGCAAACCTAGTAGTCTCTAGATCATCTACAAAGGCAGTCCAACCTCGACAGACTCGATGAACAAAACCCTCAGCTTAACAGTTACATTGCGCCGCGCAGCGCACGCAGCGCGCGCACACAGCTGCCTCGGACCCGGCAGTTTGAGGTGCTGTCCTCCCAAAAGGCCCATCGCTCCACAGCCTGAACAGCAGCCGCACGGAAAGTAGCGGTTCAAGATGGAGGTCCCCAAAAATGGGTGTGTGTGTGTGATGCTTTCGCCCTGTACGCTCGACATAGTTAGTTCACATGATGGGTGTCATGTGGCACTACCAAAAGGCATAAAAGCATGTCGGTAAGGTGCCTGAATGCACTATGCAGTTCAACTCAAAATAGATCATTGATTGT